CTCTATCTCCTACCCACCCACTTTTCTATAGTGGATGGTGACTTCTCTGAGCTCATTACATGAATATAGCTTTGTTAGCAATGAAGAGGAAACTTTTGCATTGAATTCATGTGAGGACTTCAACATGGGAATTTTCCCCTGTCATTTTATTGTTAATAATTTTTCCTTTTGCAATGAAAGATAATGAAAATCTCCTTGGAGTAATTTTTTTCTTATTGATGTCGTTAGGTTTTGTGCATGGGCTCAGTCTTAGAAGTTGAGTTTTTAATTCCATGTCCTGATACTAAACCTTTAAAAATAAATGTCGAGGAACAAGTGTCAGTGTTGGAATTTAGAAAAGCAGGTCTAAAGGAATAGCTTTGGGGCATTTTAGTTTTCCATGTTAGAGAAAAAAAACTCCAGAAACCCCCTGATAAATGTGCTGTCAGATGACATTACTATTTTAGAGATAATAATTATTATTGAATTTCAATGAAGTAGCATATATAATAGCTAAAGAAACTGTCTTTTCTGTTTACTGTTACTCTCTTTACATTAAAAAAATGTATCTTTATCTTACCTTCTAAGGGATTATTATAAAATCAGTTTCTTTTCTAGTCAACATTACTTTAAATTTGGGTTAATTTCGAATGTCAGAATTGATCGTGGGGAGAAATGAGTGAACAACTAAGTGAACATTTAGATGAAAGTTCTTGAAGTCGATTTATACATGGGTCACAGACTTGCTGGTGAGCCAGAAGACTGATGAGCAAGGATGTAGTGCAGCCTTTGATAGCAGCCAGTCCCCATGTGCTGTCCACACCGCTATCAGTTTGGGTCTTTGTGAGTCTGGTCAGGGTTGAGTATTAATGTGCCCCTGACTAAGGCGTTGGGTTCTCACTGGGCCTTGGTCTCTGCTGCTGAGAAATGAAGGTGTGGGAACACCCATTCCCTGCCAGTCCATTGCTGATGTTAACTCTCTAAGGGTTGTAGGGTCTGTGTTGAGCTCATGCTTCCACCTCTTCTTTCCCCTCCTTCCCTTGACAGAACCCTGGCTTCCAAATCCAGGTTCTTCCATATTCTCCTACAGATTCTGTCAGTCCCTCCACAATTTTGGTTAGTCTGAGCAAAGAAAGATCAAATATTCCTTTATCTCTTAGTCAGCCAAAACCCTCATTTAAGCTCAGTGACCGATTCTTTCTATGATGAACCATGATCCTAAAACAAGATAAATACTGTCTATAAATATGGAATGGATATGTGCCTAATGATAGCTTCTCCTGTCACAGATAACTACAGGGTGAAGGTGTATTAGTCAAGGATCCCCAGAGTCAGGACCAAGAGAGCGCATGTGCATGAGTGTGTGTACATGTGAGTGTGTGATTGTCGACTGAAAGATGAGGAGGCCTGAAGATCTGTGGAATAGGTCAGCAGGCTGGAACTCCACGAGAGCCGACGGTATATTTCTAGACTGGTGTATTTCTAACTTGGCAAGCTGAGTACCCAGGAAGAGCCAATGTTTCAGTTCAAATCTAAAGGCAAGAAAAAAAGCAAATGTCTGAGATTGAAGTCAAGCAGAAGAATTTCTCTCTTACTGTGAGCATGGTCAGCCTCTTTTTGGCCTGTCCAGGCCTTCAGCTGATTTAATGAGGCCTGCATTCCTTGGAGAGGGCAATTTGCTTTACTCTGAGTTTACCGATTTAAATGTTAGTGTCATCTGAAAACATCATCACAGACCCACTATAATGCTTGACCAAAGTATCTGGACTTCCCATGGCCCTGGCAAGTTGATAAAATGAAATTCATCATCATAAAGGCTCCTGTCACAATCAGAATGAAAAGCATGGTTGAAATAAAAAGTTACTTTCTTTTTCATTTTCTATTAAAAATTTAAAAACTCCCACCACTGTATACACCATTAATTGAGATGCTAGTTCTCTTGAAACTTAATCATACCTTAGCAAACTTCTTGATCTTTGTAAAGGCTCTTTTGGACTGCTGGGATCTCCCTGCCCCTTCCTCTCTCCAGCACATATGAACATCGGGGTCCATGTTCTTCTCATGAATTCACCTGGTTGAGAAATTTTTAAGTGCTGAAGATTATCAGAGCATTTCTGACAAAATATGATTTCCTCTTGATCTTTACCCGTTAGTGGTACTTTTAATAGACACACACACACACACACACACACACACTAAATAGCACTTTAAAAAATACTCTGTAAACTGGGCACTGGTGGCTCACTCCTGTAATCCTAGCTACTCAGGAGGCAGAGATCAGGAGGATTGTGGTTTGAAGACAGGCCGGCCAAAAAGTTTGCAAGACCCTATCTTGAAAAAACCTATCACAAAAAGGGCTGGCAGAGTGGCTCAAGGTGTAGACCCTAGTTCAAACCCCAGTATTAGAAAACAATACAAAACAAAACAACTTTGTAAATACAGAATTCAATGTAAATATATGAGATTATTGATTCTCTGACATATGTTGGTTGGCATAGACCTGGATCTTGTTCCTCACCTTCTTACTCCACTGTTGGTGCCCTGGCATCTTTATCATTTGGTGTCCAGTGACTCATTCATTTTCTTTCCTCTTAAAATTACTACCCTCAGTCGAAGTCTTAGAAACTATTTGATGAACAGCTTCACGCTGAGGTATAATGACAGCGATAAGCCTCGATGCATTAGCCAATGTGGAAATCTCTGTGCTTAATTAGAGGGCAAAGGAATGCGTCTATAGCTGGGTTTTCAGGAATCATCTAGAGAGGAAGATGTGTGGGAGACAGAACTGAAAGTATAGGTTTTATGACTTCTGGTAGTGCCAGTTTATACCTCTTTGTCACTTTCGGACTCTGGGATTCTTCAATAGGACAAGACCAAGAAGGGTCTGCGTACAGCTTCAATCTGAATTCCCTTGTTAGTCTGGAACAGTGGTCCTCACTGAGTCTGGGACCTTTGTAGATGTACCCTTCTCCAGGCCTCAGACCCAATGGGTAGACTTTTAGGGCACAACACTTGGCCATCCACATTGCTAAGAGCCTGCAGGCTGTTCTGCTGTTCACTCAAGGCTGCCACCAGTAGGCTGCTGTATCAGCAGTAGAGGGTAATAGGGCATTCTTGATCCACATTGCTAGCCCTTCTAGCTTTAGTTATTTTTTTTGGATATGGTCTCATGTTTTTGCCTGGGGCCAGCCTCAAACCATGATCTTCCCAATCTTTGTCTGTAAGATAGCTAGAATTATAGGCATGAAACACTGTTCCTGGCCCCCAAATGCCTGTTTTTTTTTTTTTTTTTGGGTATGTGTGTGTGATACAGGGGTTTGAACTTAGGGCCTTGAGCTTGCTAGGCAAGTCCTCTACTACTTGAGCCATGCCCCCAGCCCAACAGACTCTTAAAGCAGGTTAAATCCCTTGTGGCTGTTGAGATTTTTTCAGTGCATTGTGACTTCATTGTTTTACTGACAATGATCAGTCAACAAATTGTTTGTTTAGCTCTCCTGGCCATCCTCCTTTTATGCAGAAAGTTGTATGAGGATCTTCCTAAGAAATAGATGCAGAGAACCCAGAGCAGGTATGCATCACTTCTCTATGGGGAGAGACTGAACAGGAATAGTGTTCGGTATTGGGCATTCCAGTGACCATCTAGCCAGAATTATCTTGGAAGGTTAGGATCTGTTTGCACTAAACAACACAGACCTGGAGATGCAGCACTGCCAGGGAAGCCACACAGCTGTTGCTCAGCACCTGTATTCGGCTCTCCTTAGAGCTTGTCTTGCATTTGGAGATTGCCAACAGGACCTGCAGATGCCCTGCTTCCTGCTCTGCTCCTGAGCATTGAGCATTGAGTCCCTCACCATGGATTTGCATAAATGGAGCACATACTTACGTATAACCCCTGGCGGCTCTCGGAAGAAAGGAGAGCCGTCCCCAGAGTTTGGCTGTGTTTCTTTACCAACTCCTGACTTTAGTTTTGAAGAAGTTATGTAGGAATTTCTGTTGTGTAAGTAAGTGTAGATACTTTAATTTTATTCAGACGTACAGATGGTGGGTATTCTGCAGGACACTTAAAATAGAAAATTCTCTGTCATCATCTCTGAAATCCATTTGCTGCTGATTTTTTTTTTTTTTTTTTTTTGTGGTACTAGGGATTGAACTCAGGGCCTCGTGCTCGCTAGCCAAATTCTGTACTACTACTTTAACCACACCCACAGCTCCTTTTGCTTTTAGTTTGTTTTGAGCGAGGGTCTTACTGCTACCTGTGCCAGGCTGGCCTTGGACTGCTATATTCTACCTCAACCCCCGGAGAAGCTGGGATTACGGATGTGCACCCACCATGCCCCACCCGATGCATTTATTTGCTTCTTAATGTTTTGAGTCACTTACTCAGAATGAATGGGAATGCAGTCAAGTCTCTGCTGTCCTGTTCCCAGCATCTGTTTATGTGCAGTTCAGTTAATCCAGTTTAGGATCAGAGGCTGTAAATGTGAAGGGAAATGAAACAGAGTTCTGGAAAAACACAGTGTTTCGATTCACATCCTGTTTTAAGTTAGCCTGGTTTAGTGTTAGGGTTCTCTAATAAAGATCATGTCATTTTGGCTGTCACTCTGTGGGGACCCCCAGCTGCCCTTTTTTTCTTTTCTTTATTTATTAGCATATTATTGTTGTACTTGGGAAATATTGTGACATTTACAAAAGTGCTTGCAGTATAACCTAGTTAGATTCATTCCCTCCATCTTTCTCCTTTCTCTTAGAACAGTGTCAACAGGTCTCATTGTTCCATTTTCATACATGAGTACATAGTTCTTCCACCATATTCGCCCTCCTACACCCTTTCATTACACTCTCCCCTCTCCCAGCTGTCTTTGTGACCCAATACATTTTGTTGGATGGCTGGTGAAGTGAAAATTGTTTTAAACCTTGTGAGTCCAGCTAAAACTAATTTTTCCTTGAAGTTGTGAAGTGAATTACGTTTTTGATTTGACTTGTAACTTTTATTTACATCACCTCTGGTCTTACCGTTTAAGATCCAACAATGGGAGCAGAACCTGGAAAAATTCCACATGGACCTGTTCAGGATGCGATGCTACCTGGCCAGCTTGCAAGGCGGGGAGTTACCAAATCCCAAGAGTCTCCTTGCGGCTGCCAGCCGCCTGTCCAAGCTGGCCCTCGGCAGGCTGGGTGTCCTGTCTGTTTCCTCGTTCCATGCTCTGGTACGTAACTGAGGAGGAGGCTGTGTCAGTGGCATTCCAGGAAGATCAAGGCTGCTTACCTTTCTCCAGGTGTTGCCATCACCTGTACTGATTAACTGAGGGCCACACAGAGACTAGGACACGGGAGGCCATAGGAAGGAGGAAACTGTAGAGTCCTAGTTTCTCTACTGCTTGTTGGAGGGACCCAATGGCTGGGTCTGCACCTGCTTTCTTGTCTAACAGTTGGGAAGGTGAGACAGCAGCAGCAGTGGTGTGAGGAACAGAAGGATGGACTATAGGTTGCTTGACTCCACTCAGAGAGCTCCTGTTGGGTCTTCTGAAATCACTCCTGGTACAGTGTTGTGTTGTTTTGGACAGAGCCGAAAGTTGTAAGCTGAACGTTGTAAGTCTCCAGATAAGAGACTGATGGCTGTGTCTATGTACGACAAGCATGTGGTAGCCTTTGACACTGGTCAGAATGCACCTATAGCAAGTAGGGCTTGCTTCTGCAAGGCAGCTGTTAACGTTCTCCCTTACCTGCAGAGACATTTGAATATGCTTTAAGATTTTTAAATTGTGTTTTACTTTAGGTGTGTTCTAGAGATGACTCTGCTCTCCGGAAAAGAACTCTCTCACTGACCCAGCGAGGGAGGAACAAGAAGGGCATATTTTCTTCATTAAAAGGGCTGGACACCCTGGCAAGAAAGGGGAAGGAGAAAAGGGCTTCTATAACCCAAGTGAGTTCTCAGCCTGGTGGAGGAGCTTGTGGAGTGACACCCCTGAACCTTTGCTTTCAGCCTGTTGTAAACCATAGGCATCCATTCTCTGTGAAGTGTTGGTTCAAAGCCTCCAGTCTGAAAGCATGAACTTTTCTCCCCAAGTGAAAGATACAAGTTGCTCAGTCTGCTTTGGCACATCCAAAGAAGGAGCACTTAGGAACACAGGAAATAAGAATTATCAGAAAATAGGGCTGGAGTGTGGTTCATTGGTAGGGTGCTTATCTAGCATGCATAAGGCTCTAGATTCCGTCGTTATCAGAAAATATTCCACACATTGTTGTATCTACACTCATTGCCTTTAATAGCAATACTTATTTTTCCCATAGATTTCATGTTAAAATAAATGTAGAAAATTAATAATAATCAGAGCAACTGCAGCTGTTCTGTTGATAGTGCTAGATTCTTTGCTCACTCAAGCCTTACACCATGCAGTAGGCATTTTACCAGCCAGTTTTCTAGATGAGGAGACAGACAAGTGGAGAGGTTAAGTCACTTACCTTTCTATTTTTATCAGCATCCTAGGGGCAAGGCTGGGACTTGTACCTTCCTGAGTCCAAAGACCCTTGAAACAATGAGCAATGACTGCTCCCTTGAGGAGTGACAGCTCTTTTAATAGATTATCAAAGAAATAATCCCAACATTTATTGCTGAAATATGGCCCAAGTACAGTGAATTGTTCTCAGAAAATTTTGAACATGCAGATCCAAAATGTTTCATCATGTTCATAAGATTAGCATATGAGAATGAATTTTATACTGCTGGTTGATGTTTTAGGATTATTGTTTTTTCAAAGACAGTTAAAAAGTTATATGATGATCTCATTATATGAGTAACTAAGAAACATGTTTACTATTAAGTCTGAAGAAGTTCTTCTTTTTATTAAGTCTGCTGTTTTTTTTAGTATGTTTCAATATCACCTGACAGAGAGGGTGATATTTCATTGACCTTTATTGTCTAACTTGTATATGACTCTATAGTTGTGTACAACACTTTTATGAATTAGATGACTAAAAGAGCTAGGATGGACTTTCACCTATTTAAAATCCTGAAACCATGAAGTTGGAGGTGGTAGGCAATGGGTTGATTGATGGAAAGACAGCAAAACACCTGGAACTTCTTTTATATGGACTCTGTTTTTGTTTAATAATATTCAGAAGGATTACCACATTTTAAAATGACATTCTACTTGTATTTTAATTTAATTGAAAAGAGTAGTTATTTGTTGGCTGTAGGTAGAAACATTTCTATCCTAGAGTGGTGTTGACTATCAGTCATTGACTAATGCTGAGCCTGTGGTTTCTGAATTGAATTCCTATAATGTTTAAGCAATGTTTTTAAAGTCAATTCTGATTTTTTTTTGTTTAATAGACATTTATTCCTTTAGTTGAACAACCTCTACATACAATCAATAGGTATGGTTTCTTTTGAGTAGAAAGAATGTAGGTCTCAATGTTTTATGAGCCTGCTATGAATGTTTTCTGGAAGTCAGTAAGCTCCCTTTAAAGCCCCTAGAGAAAATAAGAAAAATCAGGTCAGGGAAATCATCAATTAGATTTTAAAACCAAGCCATCTATTAAGACAGCAGGAAACCCAGCATTTGTAGTAAGGGAAATTCCTTTTGTATTTCTTCCACACTTAAATCCACCCTTGGAAACTGTAGCCCAGTCTACTAGAAGACAGGACATAATAAGAAAAAACATGATGTGGTGGTGAGCTTAATTGATGGCTGTTGTGAATGCTAAGAAATTTTGAGGGCAGTTTGACCACAGATGAGAAAAATTAACTGAAGACGACATGGACTTGTTTTGACAGGTTTCCTGCTAGCTTTATGGGGACAGATAAATGAGTTATCCCAAGATGTATTGACTGGACTGAGCAAAGATGTTCTTTTAAATAGCCAAGCATACCTTTCCTCCTATGTGGCTACAGACTTCATAATGGTCATCAACTATAGTTACAGGTATTTTAAAATCTTGACTCAAACTGAAGTTTCTAAGTTCACACTTGGAACATATTAATTGAACAGCCACTGGTTTACCAGCTTCCCACCTTAGCTTGCACTTCCATACAAATCTTAAGGTAGATAGTTCTTATCTGCTTAATGTCCAAAGGTGTTACCACTGACTGTGTATCAAATTCAAGATTCTAGATCCCATGAAGTAATATAATTGAACCAGCTTTCAACCCTTGTTAACTTCTACCATACTGTGGAGTCTCAAGATTTTACACAGGCTAACCTAGATTTTAGAAACCTCTCACAACAGGTTTGATTCTTCTGAAAACCATGGTACTTCTCTTTCAGAAGTAGCAGTCACTTTTCTACATACAATCATGTTACCTGGTTAGAATATACTCCTCCTAAAAAATCTCTAGGCAAACTCTAATACTAAGTTTGTACCAGCCAATCTCTAAAAACCCAGTCACTTTAAACCAGCAGAGCATTGCATCATCCCAAGGAAGCTGTAAGTTTCATCACATGCACTGAATAAATCTACAGACCTAGTGTCAGCACTCAACTTTGTGAGAATTTATTTTACACCTGTTAGTCCACACAGTGGGTTCTAAACACTGACATAACTCCCTAATAAGATAAAGCAAAGACAAAAACATTTACCTTATTAACACATATGAATAATAAATGTTCAAACATATTGTACTTCCATGATTTGACTAAGTGTTCATGAAATAATCTGCAGACTAGTTTTAACAGACAAATAATACTTTTAAGCAGACACGACTGTCCTAACTGGTTTATTAGGTATGAATTTTGCAAACATTACTTTTATTAGCAGTAATGGTGGAGCTGGAGAGTATTGTGCCTTCTCCATGCTGCATGGTGGGAACCACCAATAGTGTGATGGAACTTGTGGCCCTTTCCAAGGCCATGACTCTTGCAGCCTGCAGATTTCAGCCCACGCATCTCCCTGTGCTTGTGGACTGGTTTGGTTATCCACTGAGTGTCAGGATTTCTTCTGATAGCTTTATGGAATACAAATTCTTATGAAAGAATTCGTATGTGGAATCTTCACCAACCTGGTAAGAATTCAGGACTCTCAGAGACCCACAGTGATGTCCAGCTGGCTCCTTGGCCATGGACTGAAGTCTTCATGCAAACTTCAGCTGGTTGACACTGTGATAGACAGGCTTGCCATAAGTTGCACCCTTAGGACCTGGGCTTTTTTTTTTTTTTTCATTTTTCTTTTATTATTCATATGTGCATTCAAGGATTGGTTCATTTCTCCCCACTGCCCCCACCCCCTTCCTTACCACCCACTCCGCCCCCTCCTCTCCCCCCCGCAATAAGGACCTGGGCTTTTGCGGCCACTACAGTGCACACCAATCCTGTATATGCCATAACCTTGCTGACCTTGTATCCCAGGTGGCGCCCTTTGTCAGGCCGGGTCGGGTGGGGTGCCCTCTGCAGCGCTGCCAGCATGGCACCTCCAGCAGAAAGCACATCATGTCCTACTGCTTCTTCCTCCACAGCTCCTGGAGGTATATGCACCCCTCTTGGCCTGCCTGATGGTTGCTGCCAGACGGAAAGCTCAATTCTGATTTTAATCAAGATAATGCTATATACTTCAGTGATAACTTGATAAATAACTTAATAACTTGCTTATTTTTTCTTAGATCTAATATTTAGTCAGTTATATATGAGCCTAATATTGTCTATAATTATCCCAGGATATGTGCTGACTGTTCTCAACAAAAGATTTCTTGATAAACAAAAGCATTTGGTTCAACATTTTTTGTTTGAAAAAGACATGAAACCAATTCCAGTGTTGATATTCACATAAATGAAAAGAAAGTTTATTTAGCATATTAAACATTCCTAAATGATTAAATGATCTTTAATGTTAACATTCTACACAATTGAGAAGATAAATTTTGAAGGAAAAAAAAAAACTGAGAGAAATGATTCCTAGTCTCTCCCTCCAAACACAAGCACTTTTAACATTTAGCTGTGTTTTCTTCCATGATTTCTTCTTAAGGTTGAAAAAATGTTGCAAGCTTGACTTGGTGGCTTTGCCAACTCTGAGCTCTGTTCCACATGTTCAGAAATGTGTGCTTGGTTAAAAGCAACATCAAGAAGATTCAGGATGACTTGGATAATATGTGACATCATACGAAAGTAAAATATGTAACTCTTTATGAAGAAAGAAATCAACATTTTCTTCGAAGTTATAACCTTGTCATAGAATATTAGTACCAAGTATGCAATAAAGATCTTACATTATATAATTTCAACTTTTAAATACTGAAAAAGTGTGGATGCTAAATGAGCATTGCAGAGCCATTTTCTTAGTCTTTTTTCCCCCCCCCCCACTTCCCTGTTTGTCAGATATTTGATTCCAGTGGCAGCCATGGATTTTCTGGAACTCAGCTACCTCAAAGCTCCAGTAACTCCTGCGAGGTAACCATGGCTGTAGATGGCAGCCATCTTGTTTTACATTGATGATGCAAACCCTGAGTTAAGTAGGGAATGCTAGTTCAGAATCTTTACATGAATTTGTTGAAAATAAATTTAGAAATAAAATTATTTCCTACTAGGTAAGCTAAGAGGTGTCCTCTGAATGCTAAGTATTTCTGGAAGTATCTAAAATCATATCACTTATCTTAAAATTAGTGACATGACTAAAAGTCATTGTAGCATCTTTTATTTATTCCTCGACAGTACTTAACTTCATCTGAATGTTAGTGGATTCCAAATTGTATTTGTCTCTCGTGACTGTCAAGGTCTTTACTCAGATAGTGCTTTCTGTGCTGTGTATCATCAACCTTTGCCTCTTCAGGGGTTCTCAGAGAGTAAAGTAGTGTCCCTTTCTATTCTCCAGAATTGCTTCTGAGTGGACAAATTCTCAGGACTACTTCTTTTTATTTATTTATTGTTTTATTATTCATATGTGCATACCAGGCTTCGGTCATTTCTCCCCCCTGCCCTCACCCTCCCTTACCAC